CTCCTCATGGTTTTATAAATATCTATAAGGTCACCCCTTGTCCTCCGATTCTCCAGGGAAAATAGCCCCAGCCTGTTCAGCCTGTCCCTGTAGCTCAAACCCTCCAACCTGGCAACAACCTTGTAAATCTTTTCTGAACCCTTTCAAGTTTTACAACATCTTTCCTATAGCAGGAAAACCAGAATTGAATGCAATATTCCAAAAGTGGCCTAACCAATGTCCTGTGCAGTGTAACATGACCTCCCAATTCCTATATTCAATGCACTGACCCAGAAAGGCAAGCATACCAAATGCCTAATTCACGATGGCTCCGTGGTTAGCACTGCTGACAGACAGTGATAGGGACACGAGTTCAATTCCACCCTTGGGCGACTGTCTGTGTGGAGTTTGCACATTCTCCCCATGTCTGTGTGGGTTTCCTCCAGGTGCTCAGGTTTCCTCCCACAGTCCAAAGATGTGCAGGTTAGGTGGATTAGCCAAGCTAACTTGCACATAGTGTTCAGGGATGTGCAGGATAGGTGGGTTAGCTATGGGAGATGCAGGGTTACAGGGATAGGATAGGGGGATGGGTCTTGGTGGGATGCTTTTCGGAGGGTCAGTGTGGATCCGTTGGACTGAATAGCTGTTTCCACGCTGTAGGGATTCTATAATTCTATGATGCCTGCTTTCAAGGCACAGTGAACCTGCACCCCAAGGCCTCTTTGTTCAGCAACACTCCCCAGGACGTTACCATTAATTGTATAAGTCCTGCCCTGATTTGCCGTACCAAAATGCAGCACCTCACATTTATCAAAATCAAACTCCATCTCGGCCCATTTGATCAAGGTCCCGTTGTATTCTGAGGTAACCTTTTTCGATGTCCACTCTACCACCAGTTTTGGTTTCATCTGCAAACTTACTAACCATACCTCCTATATTCACATCCACATCATGTATATGTAGGAAATATCAGCAGAAACTGTCTTCCATTGTTTCTCTTGTGTACCTCTTATGCTTCAATATCTGTTGTGTGGTTCCTGTGGAGAATTGCCAACCCTCCAGGATTGTCCTGGAATCTCCAGAGCAATTTATCGGTGGGGTGTTGCCACCAATCATGCCAGGGAAATGCCGTTGTCTTGTCAGAAATGTTGTTTCTCATTGAACACTTTTGGCTTATTAAGTGTAAGACTGTCATGGCAAATAAGGGCCATCAGACAAGTAACCATAATGAAATCGAGTAATGACTCTACTTAAGTTGCAATCACTGTGGATAAGAAGTGCACTAAAGTTATTGGTATTTTAGGCAAACAGTGAGACAGTTGAAAACAGAAGGCCATGTTGAAGGAGATCCATTCCCTTAAGGAATATGTGCGACTTGGGTTAGCAACTCTACTCTGAAGTCCTGTACTGAAATGCTTGTACTGAACACATTACAAATACCTTGGATTCTGTCTACCACTTCCTATCATGTAGAAGAGCCAGTGGAGGTAGCCTGAAAGCAGAAGGTTTATTCAGACAGAGAACCCATAATATGGTGTTCACGTAGTTTCAGTCCAACAATCCATTGCTCCCATTTATGATGTCACAGCTACTGGAATTTCTTGATGTCACATGAATAAGGAAAGATTCTTCCCAAGTCATGAGGCTGAATCTAACAGTGTGAGTTGTATCAAGTTTTTTGGCAGGTTTTTCAGTGAGGCCTTGTGGATTTTCTTGCTATCTTAACAAACTTGTAATGAGGCGAGGCTCGTTAACTACCTCCCATACCCTTATGTGTCTCTCACATCCATCTAATCCTTACCATACACCATTCCAATAACAACTCACAACTAACTGGAAACCCTGGAGTTCACCAGAATCCCTTGTGCTCACACCATCTATGAAAGACTGCTGTGTACTTGAACAAGCATTGGCAATCCAGTGCTGCCCTTCATAGCAACATCATGGCACAGCAGCCATGATGCCACGGTGCCCAAGGCACATAAGCTGGCATATTTGACTCTCTATCACACATACAACCCCACTCTCTACACTAGTTACTGTTTAACCAGCAGGCCACACACTTCTCTTGTCTGTACGTTCCTTCTGTAAGCCACTGCTACTCTGCCCACTATCGACACACAGAAAGGAAGTTGAATGTTGATGAGGTGAATTGTGCTGTTAATAAGGCATTTAGCAAGCTACAATCTTCGATTCACAACAATGTCAACCCATGCTTCCATTTCTTTCTAATATTGTCTCCATACCATATCATGGTTTTTCTCTGGTTATTCACCCAACGTGCAGTACTTAGAGAATAAATACATGATGATTAAAGTAGCAACAACAGAGGCTTTAAACACTTCATACCTCTTAATCTTGTGCAAATAAATAGCGAGACACTGACAAAAGTGATCACAGTAAAATGACAGCATATCCACATAAAGTTGTCAGGCAAGCAAAGTCAACAGTTCTCTCCAGCTGCCAAAACCAACGCCCACTCAGATAACCAGTTTATGAATTTGGGCTCTCAGTCAAATGTGCAAATTGAGGCTTCCAAATCAATTAGTTCATAACATATCTGTAGTTTCTTCCACATTTAATAATTATTACAAAACTGTAAATCTGGAACATAAAGCTAGCAATCATGAATTGTTGCAAAAACCCACCTGGCTCATTGATGTCTTTAAGAAAGGAAATCTGCTGTCATTACCCAGTCTGGCCTACATGTAACTCCAAACCCACCACAATGTTGCTGACTTTAACTGCCTTCTGGAATGGTGAAGTAAGCTATTCAGTTGCATCAAAGCCTACAGAAAAGAAGCAGAATATGTGTGCCAACACCAGCCTGCAACAGTTCAAGTAGCAACTCACTACCGTTTTACCAAGAGAAATGACGGGTGGGAAATAAATAGTGCCGGTATCACTCACAACCAAAGAAGAAGCCACAAGGAAAGACTAGGAAGGTCCTAAATGCAACTCTATCAGTGCTGAATTAGATGAATCAATCAGAATGACAGCATGATTACTATATTACCTATAGTATTGCAGTCAATCAAGTGACACCTCGTGGAAACTGCTGACTTGGTGATGTATAAGCACGAGATACAAGACAGCTATAAAACTTCTGCTATCAGATAGCCAACAGGTACTCTGTATGTTTATTTCTAAAATCTGTTCACGCAGGCAAAGGCACCCAGGAAACCATAGGTGAGCTCAGTGTACGGAGAAGAGGGGGTGGCAGTTTAGTGGAGAAGACAAGGAAGTAAAGAAGAAATACACAACCAATTTCTGGTGAAGTTGCAAAATGATTTTCCCTTAGTTACTGCAAGTTTGTAATATTGTAAAAGCAGGACAAAGATGCCCTCTGGCACACGAGTTAGTGAAGTTGTAAACGTAAATGTAGTTGGAAGCATTCCATTGATCAACCATTTCCCAACAAAACCAGATATTTTTATTCACGTGTTTTCAGTTTCAGGGTGGGGAACTCTCTAAATACTAAGAAACGTCTCAGGCACTTTGTGCTAATTACTGAGAGACAAAGAACACATTTTTATTGTTTTAAACAGCAGCAGAAGTAACATGTAAATAAGAAAACAAATACAGAGACCTAATGACCTTGTACACTCTTGGGATTCCTTTTGAGGGAGCCCAGTTTGAAAATCTGTTGTTTATGATGTTACCATCATTATAACTAGAGGAAATATTTCTCTTGCGATCATCACTGAATAGTCTTTTCTCAGTCATCTGTGAACTCCTGGTAGAGTTACTGAATTACTGGATTAGGAAACTGATATCCCAATGGAAGTTATTTATTTATGAAGCTAAGGAACTAGAATTAAACTGACAAACTTACCCAGGGACAGTTGTCTATTCTGACTTTTATTTTGGGAAGCAGCAAATTGAATTG